CTAATACATAATATACCAATATATTATAATAATATATTTATTTCTGACTCCCTTTACACAACTCAAGCGCCTAGTTAATTTTATGAATATTTACTAATTTGGGAGTGAACATTTTTATTTATCAAAGTTTTAAATAAATACTAAACTTTATGAATATTTGCTATTTAATTTCATTTTATGTGCGTTATATAATTATAAGTATAGAAGATTTTTGTTAGTCTAAGAAACACATGAAATATTTATTTAGTGATGAGTATAGAAATTTTTTGTTATTCTAAATGCACTTAAAAATAAATCTAAGCATTTAATAAGCTATTAAATTCATGGATATTTATTATTTTATTCGCTTAATTAGTGAACATAAAAGTTATTTGAATTCAAATTTAAATTAAGATTCTTATAATGAAGAAGTATTCTATTCAATAGTTCGTAAATTTTCAGAAGTTATGACAAAAAATGCAATTAAATATAATTATGGCATTACGTTGCATTTTCAGATTTGACACAACTCAATTCAAAGTTTACTTTTTAAATTTTACAACATATTCTTACGTTTCTGGTTTTGTGCACATATTTTAGGTGTTTTGTAAATCTTGGTATAATCGTAATGATAAATAAATGAGTAATAAATAAATAAATAAATGATTAATAATAAATAAATAAATGATTAATAAATAAATAAATGCAATGAATTAGCTTTTTCAACTTTAATAATTCATAAACAATCGCTTGGATTTAATAACAAAGGCCCAAATTATTGCAATTAGGTATTACTCTCTTGAGTTGTTGTTGTTTGATTATTATCAGGAACAAGTTTTTTGTTTGCATAAACACGAACCAAATAATAATAAAAATCAGATTCATATAGTTCTTTTTCAGCAGTTTTAAGTAAATCGTCATATTCATCATCTGAAACTTGCACCAATTTTGTCATAAGTGGTTTCAAGCCAGCCAATATGGAAATTAAATTATTAATATCCTGTTTATTTCGTATGATGGTAAAAAAAAAATTTTTGTAAAATAATTTCATAAAAATAAGAAAACAATTCAAATTAATTTAGTACATTACCACTTTATTAAGTTGGGGATCAACGTTTGCACCATGACGAATTTGTTTTACTTCTTTATTAACATTTTCTAACTGACCTTTAATTATAGAATATAATATAAGTATTAAGAAAAATAAAAAATTTTATTAATTAGATCAAGAGTGAAAAACCTTGATTTTCTGGAAGTTTCTCTAATTTTTGATATGTATAAGAGTCTGCGCCTCGTTCATCCATTATCGATGTTTCTTAATCATTTTAATAAATAGAACATTAGCGTGAGTAGAAGAGTATCTTTACAAAAATCTGTCAAAATTGAACTTGCTAAAAATAAGCAATTTAACGGTGCTGGTAATGTACTATTAACG